CACAAGTAGATTTTGACATCAAATTTTGAGGTAAAAAAGTGCGTCTTATACATCGAAAAATACGGTATTTCTACAATCACAAAGTACAGAGCAGTATTGTCAATAACCTTCCATCTTTTCCTTAGGCATCATCCTTTTCTTTATCCATGTTTTTCGGGCCTCTTTTATGCCTTTCTAATGAGTCATCCTCCTTCTTCAGTTCTCCCTTCTGGACTAGAACCTCTGTTTAGTTCAAAGCTTTGGCCACTTTTGTTTTCTTGTATCATCTTTACTCTTATTCATATTTTCTTCTTCTTCTAGCTTGCCAGAAAGTCATTTAGATATTTTTATTTTAGACACATCACCAATTTTTTAGAGAGATACGTTGATTTTATCTCCACACAGCTCATTACTTCCAACTCTTGGGCTGTTTGTCCATTTTTTTCTCTACACAATTTTTCAGATCTCGACTGTCACCTTTATTTTTTGTGGGTATTATGATGTTATCTCACTTGCATAGTTATTCTTAAGAAGCAGTGCAAATCATCCTTTTTTTTTGCAATGGGATCCTCCTACTTCCTGAGGTTTATCTTCTTTCAGTTTAACCAGATGGATTTGATGTCTCAACCAGTAGGAGATGACACTTTTCTTTTTAATGTTAATTCCTATCAAAGTTGTCATCTTGCCTCTTCTCCTGTCTCTGGCTGTTGACATCTAAATTTAATTCTGCAAGTGGGGATGTGAATGATCCCAGACACCTTTTGTGGAGTATTACTTACATACATTGTAGTTTTGTAAGCTTGTGGATTTTGTCTTCCTCCAGTTGCCATTCTCAAATCATCTCACAGATTCTAAGATGACAATTTCCTTTCATTACAGCTTTGTCTTTTATCCCTCACAAAAAAAAAAAGAGAAACAAATGAACCCACTCAGTAGTTATTGTTGTCTCACAGCGAATACTTCTCTATCCCAAAATCTGCACCAATAAAAAGTGTTAAGGCCATCAGCTCCTACTTAGTGCCCACTATTGAGATGTGGTTTTATAAAAGATTGCTTTGACAATATATATATATATATATATATATATATATTTATTTTTCTTATTACCTTCTAAGCTCTGTGAAAAAAACAATAATGGTTAAACAATCAGTCTCTCAGTCAGGGACCTTATGCAGAAAAGATTATTCCTGTTTTGTCCACATACCTCTTCTGTGTTCTGTTGTATGTGAATTCCTCCCTCTCAATATTTGCTAATGGCACAGAGGTGAGATCAATATGGATAATTCCCTTTTGGGCCATTGTATTCCCACTGTTAGTAGGATAGGGGTCAACCCGAAAGAGTAATGCAGACCACCCTCAATATTCTCAATGGTTGTGAACTGCCAGATAGGTCTTGAGTTATTTGAACCTTTTAGAACAATTATCAGTTAGACAAAGGATATTTCACGCTAGAGATGGGTGTGGTCTCTCATTGAATGTAGAGTGTCTCTCACTAGGGAGTGGGAAACGTAGTGGGAGACACTCTACATGAGTTTTCCTTTTAGGTCAGAATTTTTTCAGAAAGGAGCTCATCTTTTTAATTCTGTCTTCACACTGGTTCTTCCCCATTTTTTCAATGCAGGATTCTAGCTAATTGTTTATTGGAAAGGTAAGTACCTTGGTTTGAAATTAGCATTTTTCTTTCCTGAAAATGTATTTCAGATAGATGCTTAACTCTCCTCAAAATCACATAGCTTACCTTTCCCAGTGTGATGTGTCTATTTGTATCATTAAGAATGAGCTTTTGGTTTATGCAAAGTATTCAAGGATCAAAGGAGTACTGCACAAGGAGGTTGTGTTGCCCTTCTGTTGGTGGAGGGGTATGGTTTAATGTTATTTAACTCTATTGCTATGAATTTTCCTATTGGGCATGTCATTTTGTTTGGAGACTTACATTCAAAATTTTATTGAACTACTATTTTATAAATGTATGTCAATAAGTTTGGCATCAAATTGTAGATTATAATTCAAATTTTAGTGTTATACATTAGTTAATTTCTTAATTTAAAAGTAAATATTAAAACAAAAATGCTAAATATTGATTTTTGTGTGTCACATGGTTATGTTGAATTCAGCTTTGGTTCAAATTAAATGTTTATGACATCCAAATACAAAGTCTATAGTTTCTTATGGATTACAAACGCAAA